ACTCAAGTTCTGGCACTTTGAACCGAACGGCGACGAACCAACACCGGAAGAGAAGCATAAGGAGTTCATGGCCAAGCTCGTGACCAGGCTGGTTTACACATGTAACCACCTGCAGTCCGAGCTGGCAAACCTTCAGCAGGCTGTGCGGAACCATAAGACTCAGCATGAGGATGCCACACGGGCACTGGACGCCCGTGTACTGGACCTGGAACAGGCTGTACCAGGACCAGCTGCTGGGGCTTCCAGCAGTGCATCCTCTAGCCACCAACTGGAGGAACGCGTTGACCACGTAGCGGCAATGCTAGGAGACATAAGTGCCTTCACAGAGCCGGACACCATCAACCAGCGGTTCGAGTTGCTGGACACTAAGATCAGTCAGCAACAGCAGACCGACCACAGCCACAACAACAGCTCTGCAAGGCCATACAAGATGCCGACGTTCCGGATCGAGAAATTTGATGACTACACACATCAAGACCCGGTCGTCTGGTGGCAAGGATTTACAACGGAGTTGGGGATCCACGAGGTCCCTGACCATCTGTTCATCAGTGCTCTGTTCATCAACACCAAGGGAGGATGTCAGATCTGGCTCAGCCACATGGCAACCATCCACGGCGTCCAGGTTTTAGACCTACACAAGAAGGTCTCCTGGGAGGATATGACAAAGGAATGGAAGAAGCGGTTCATAGTGGATGACGCGCCTGCGCTCGCCATCAACCGCATCTTCGCGATGGCTCAAGGGAGCACACCGACACGTGACTGGCYYACGGATTGGCAGAAGATCGTGGCCACGCCCGATCTGGACCTGCCATTTCCGCATYTGTGCCGTGAGTTCTACAACAGGTCATGCGCCGCTCTGAGCCTCGCACTTGGTGATCGCGAGCAGTACCACACTTTCGCAGAGATCATCAACAAGGCGAGAGAGATCATCAAGACCAACAGGTCAGCTGCACACGAGAAATCAACATGGCAGCCGACCTATGTGGAGAACGCACGAACTGGTCCGCGACAGCAGCACTTCGCTGCAGTCCAGCAGGACAGTGGAGATAACCCAGCAGCCACTCCAGCATCAAGTGACGGAGATCAGGTGGTTGCTGTCCAGCCGCGAAGCAACAACAAGTCCCGCAAAAATGGGAAGGCGAAATCCACATCACAGGCCGGAAATGGACAGCCAGTACAAGTTCCATGGGTCAAGTTCGGCTTGACCGAGGCGGAGTACAAAGTCCGCGGCYGCTACGGCAGCTGCTATTGGTGCAACAGCACCAAGCACAAGACCTCCTTGTGCCAGGATCAGGGCAAGGAGGATGTGCGACCCCGCCTCAGCTCGGGAAACTGAGCTCCGCAGAAGGTGAGGCGACTCCACCTTCCACTCCGCCAGATTCGGCCGCCTTGCTAGCAGCCTCCTGCACATCTGGGGAGGACGCGAATGTCGCAAGTTCTCATTACTCTTACGAGGACTATGCTGTCTACTTGGTTCCACCGCTGGACCAGCCGCTCCACGTGCAACAGTCCACCGCATGCACGGTTTCATCACCATCAGCAACCGATTCGGCACCTTCGCCGCAATCTATCGCTGGGGATTCGACGTCATGGTCAAGACTTGATGAGCTCGACCCGTTGACGTTCACGGACTTCCAGTGGATGCCCGTTCCCTCGACCGGACGATTGCCGAAACCGCATTGCAATGTGCTCATGGCACAACTGTGGGACTACTTGCACACTGCAGTACTAGCTCCGTTGATGGACGGCGGAGTAGAGGTTGTCAACCTTCACGAGTACATCGCGAAGATTGACCGCGAGTTCAAGACGCAATAGTACGACGACATCGACGCACCATTGCTATACATACGCATTCAGATCGGTGAGGCGACCTGCAGTGCCTTGATCGATTGCGGAGCATCTTGCAACTACATCAGCCAAGACTTCATGGTGCGCGCCGGCCTTGGCCCACGTGTCCAGAGGAAGTCCCAGCCTACGCAAGTCACGTTGGCAGACGGTCATACGCACAAGTCAATCGACCGGTGCATTGACGCCGTCCCCGTGTACTTTGCCCCTCACGCAAGTGAGGCGGTGTCCTTTGACATTCTGGACACCAAATTTGACATGATCTTGGACATGTCATGGCTGCGAAGCGAGGATCACCCGGTGAACTTCTTCAACCGCACCGTTCACATTCGTGATCGGAACGGAGTACTAGTTCCATGCACGGTGCCTCTTCCTCATCCTTCTATCAGCTGCCACGTGGTATCCGCCGCAAGCATGCGAGCATCCATCATCAGAGACGACATCGAGGAGATGGGGGTATGTTTTCTCCACGCCCTCCCGCCCCGAGACGCTTCATCGACGGACTCATCTTTGGATCCACGCATCACTGAGCTTCTCGACGCTTACAACGACGTGTTCGAAGGCCCGCACGGAGTAGTACCGGATCGGCCCATCCGCCACGAGATCATCCTCGAGGACGGGGCCGTACCTCCGCGCGGCTGCATCTACCGAATGAGCGAGGAAGAGTTAAGTGTGCTCCGTGCACAACTCGACGATCTTCTAGAGAAAGGCTGGATTCGGCCTAGCTCATCGCCATACGGTGCTCCTGTCCTCTTCGTCCGGAAGAAGAACAAGGACCTGCGGTTGTGCATCGATTATCGCAAGCTCAACGTACAGACGATCAGGAACACCGGCCCTCTCCCACGCATCGACGACCTTCTCGAGCGATTGGGCGGCGCCCAGTTCTTCTCTAAGCTGGATCTCAAGTC